AGGAAAAAGAAGGGTGGCAGAGGTCATGGCCTGGAGCCATCCCTAGTAACTAAGCACCTATATTGTATGTCCACATGTTCATTTGATAAGCACTGAGCACCCACTGTGTGCCAGGTACCTATCACACATATACAGTAGCGTTCACAGCCAGGCAGGGAGACAAACAAGGGAAGGCAGGGCCAGATTCATGGATGTCAAGGTAAGAAGGTCCAAACCTGTACAGAATTTTTATAAGCGTTTGTTTTGAGCCAAAGTGAGGGCATTGCCAGGAAGCAAGACCCTCAAATGCTCAAAAAAGGCCAGCTTTGCCATTCCTTTTATACATGGGGAATTAAGCAGGGAACATCAGGTGGGCTCAGCAATTTATGTAGGCAGTCCAAGGAACAGGGAGGCAAAAGGCAGTGTGATAGACGCCAAAATAGCGAGGGCACAAAGAAGGGCTCCCTCCAAACACAGTCTTCTCAGGAAAACAGATAACCCCAGCTCAGCCCGGAAGGATGAGTGGGAGATGCCAAATGAAGGTGTTAACAAAAATTCCAAAGGAAATTAAAAGGGGAGCTTGATTCATATATGATTTGCAAATCCGGGACATCCCCTCGGTATGAACCAAAGACACGTCCCAAAACGGAGAGGACGGGGGCTGGGTTTTTAAAGACAATAGTTGCAAAGAGCTGATGATTAAAGAGACGGGTTGCTAGGAGAAGCAAGACCACAAACTTACATCACTTGTTTTCTGACTGATGGGGGCAACTGAACTTTTCAGCAGCCGGCTGACCCAGTGTTCAGCAACTGGGGCTGTGATTTAAGAACAATGGGTAGCGTATGATTAGGCATTTGTCACAGTCCTAGTTCTTGTTTAGGCTTTAGAATGAAAGCTTTTGGGTTATTTATCAACAGAAATCAAGCAGCACAGAGAGACTGTTGGTTCTGCAGGCAGTTTCCAAGTCCAAGGAGCAGAGCCTTCCTCTGTAAGCAGTCTCAAGAATTCAAACTGCAAAAAATCCACATGTTGGGCCACAAGTTATAATATTAAAAGTTCTTATATGTCCTCAAAGAGGAAGAAAGAATGTACCAAGTACAGGGAGAGCAGGCACCAACACCCTGAAATGAGAAAATTTGGGGTGCTTCATAGAACCGCTGTGGTGTAGAATGGGGGGGGTGATACACCATACATCTGCGCGGAGACCTAGGGCCAACAAGAGCCAAGGTAATTCTGAAGAACAAAATGGAGGTGCTCATCCTATTGGCCATCAAGACACTGTGTAGGGCGCCTCTAATTAAGAGGGTGTGGCCTGGAGATAAACAAACCAGTGGAACAGAGCCAAGACTCTAAAAACGAACACGCACACATGCAGAAACACGATTATGATAAAGGCAGCGTGATGAATCAGTGGAGCCAAGATGCATCATTCAATAAATGGCGCCAGAGCAATTGGCTATCCGTATAGGAAAAAAAATTAGAGCCCTTCTCACACCACACACAAACATAAGTTCAAGATGGCTTAAAGACCTAAGAGTGAAAAGCAAAGCTGCTTTAAGACTCTCAAAAGGAAATACAGAATATCTTTACAAACTCCGGGCAGAGAAAGGATTTCTTCAATAAGACCTTTTCCTAAAAGGTAAGACTGACAAACTGGACCACATTATTATTTTAAATTTTCATATGTGTGCGCACCTGGAGGAATAGCTCTGAGTCAGTCACTCTCCCCCTCCCCTTCCCCTTTCAAGCACAGCCACGGCTGTGAGTGTGAAGGTTCCCAGGTGGAGGGCAGGTGGGGTCCTTCGCTCCTTAGACTGGGGTGGGATTAAAACTTGAATACCCACGACTTCTGGCCATGGTTCCTCCTTCCTGATATCACGGGAGCCAATTATTCAGAAGATTACTTAGTAAACACAGAATCAGAACTATTAAGTCCACTTAGCTTTTACTCCCTCGGGGTTTTTATTGAACAGGTTCTCACTTTGCAGTCTATGGAGCCAACAGTGGTGTCCAAAAATTCAATTTATTGGCAACATTTAAAAATCAAGAGATCTTTTTTTTTACATATAAATATCTGGATTTCCAGGTTCTCCTGAAAAAGATCTAGGACAATGGGCTGCTGGTGAGTAATCCCTGCAGCCTGTAACTCTCTACCCAGCCCCCATCACACCCCATTACGTCCCACTTTGCTGTCTGCACTCCGTCACCCTACCTGCTTGGCACCTGGAGGCCCTGGAGTCTAAAACCACTTTATTTACCCCGGCAACTGAGAGCATTTTAATTAATAAACTGAAAGAGCAAGAAACGTTGACCGCTTTGAAGGAACTAGTTCATCTAGCTGGGAAGGCTCTACCCTGCACAATTTGTATGACACTCTTCCAGTGCCTGAATCCTTCTCTGGCCCCCAGAATCAGCTACTCTCCCCCAGAATCAGTTACTGTCTCTTGAACTCATGCCAAGGAGCTGGGCATTCTTTCCTTAGATGATCGAAGTGATAAACTTAGAGATTCACACATCTTTAGGTTAGGTTCATCCAATGATATCTTAGATATCATTATTATAAATTAATCTAAATCATGAAGTTAAGGTTGTCAAAATACATATATATTTTAAAATGGAGCCAGAGCCGCCAAGCCGAGGCACTGCCTGGCGGGCTGATACCTCAAACCTTGGAATGTCAGCACAGGACAAACTAACCTTTGGACGGGGCCTGGGACAACACTGTGTCCCGAAGAACTATTTACAAAGATAACAAGAAAGCAGTTATTTTGACTACTGGACTGAAAATTACACACATTGTATAAAATTAACATCACCACGTTATCTGCACCAACAGAAATGCCTTCCTTCTATTTATGTAATTGTTCCCCACTGCTAATGGGAACATCATTGGGGCTTCTGCCTGAAATTAATGGTTCCCAAATAGCTGTTCTTCCTGAGCTCCAATAAACCCTTGTGGTCTCTCACTTTGACAGGCCTTTTTATTTTTAGGTTAACGAAGTTTGGGTTATATTATTGTATGCGGGTTAAAGTGCCACCCTAAATCTGTAAAGAAAGGGGAAGTGGGTAACTAGGCGAGCACGAGGCAGTGGTCACCCGCCCAGTTTTGGAGGCTCCGCATCCAGACCCCCGCTGAAGGCAGCCAGCCTACCCCACAAAAACCCCTTCTGGCGTAGGCGGGGCTGCAGCGGGGTCAAAACCACGCACCAGGAAAGGCCACCCAGTGCGCAGGCGCGCCCGTTTCCTCGCCGCCGACACCTACCTGCCGCACCGCACAGGCACGTAGACCGACCAAGCTTTCCCTCCCCCTTCCAGCAGCACTGAGTTCCTGCGCAAGCGCAGTTCCGCGTCCCCACCCGGGACCAATAGGAAGCGACAGCGCCTGGGCGCTGGGGCACGACGCCGTGGGCGGGGTCGAAGTGAGGGCAGCGCGGCGACGCAGGGGCGGCTATATAAGCGAATAAGGCGCCGCCCCTTCGCCCCAGTGACTGAGCCGCCGCCGAGGACTCAGCAACCTTCCCCTTGAGCCCCCCTCGCTTCCCGACGCTCCGTCCCCCCCGCCCGCCTTCTCCCGCCGCAGCCTTCCGCAGGCCGTTTCCACCGAGGAAAAGGAATCGTATCGTATGTCCGCTATCCAGAACCTCCACTCTTTCGGTAAGCCACGGGAAGGTCCCGCGGGGTGAAGGCCCGGGCGGGGCTGTCTAGGCCCGGAGATGGGGCTCGGAAAGCTTCCAAACGCTCTGGGTTTAAGTAAACGTATGCGGAGGGAACATGTCTGGCCTCGTAGGTAGTGGGGACTGGGCCTTGGGGTCGGCCGCTGAGTGTGACCGGAAGAATAGGACGAGAGGTCAGCCCTTGGCTCGGGTGGCGCATTTACTAATGGCTCCGGGGCCACCGCGGGCCACACCCGCCCTCCTCCCGCCTCCCGCGCGTCACGTCCTTTACGTCACCGCCGTTGTCGCGGACCCCGGAGGGAGGCGGCACCAGCCCTAAGTGACAAACGCGCGCGCCAATGGGGCGGGAAGTTGGCCCCGCCTCGGAGCTCGGGTTCCGGCCGGTTGCATCAGCCGACTGGGGCGCTGCCGGCCAGCTCTGGCTCCCCCGACACGTGATCGGTTTTCGAGGGCGGGCCAGGAGGCCCAGGCTTTCGACTGGGCTTGGAAACCCGGTCGTCCCGGATTGACCTGTTCCGGGAGAGCCCACAAAGGACATGTCTGATCTGACCCAGTCCTTGGCGATTTCAGTATTAGTTTTCTGCACTCAACAAAAGATACAGCGGGAGGGGAGGGTGACAGTGGTATCTGACCCACAACGGCTCTAAACTTAACCTTTCTTCCCAGACCCCTTTGCTGATGCAAGTAAGGGTGATGATCTGCTTCCTGCTGGCACTGAGGATTATATCCATATAAGAATTCAACAGAGAAACGGCAGGAAGACCCTTACTACTGTCCAAGGGATCGCTGATGATTACGATAAAAAGAAACTAGTGAAGGCTTTTAAGAAGGTAGGTTTTCATTGTAGGAAATTCACATTTAACGTGCTCACGTGGGGGTGTTTGTTGTATTATTTCCCAAAGGGGGTTATTAGTATTGTTAGGCCTAATTTGCTTTGCTTCCTTTGCAGAAATTTGCCTGCAATGGTACTGTAATTGAGCATCCAGAATATGGAGAAGTAATTCAGCTGCAGGGTGACCAGCGCAAGAACATATGCCAGTTCCTCGTAGAGGTGAGTTCGGTCACTTGATGCATTTGAGCCTCTGCCCTGGCTAATCTCAGATCCTGCCCAGTCTTTTAATTTCTGCTGGGGAAACAGAAGTTTTCATTTTGTAAGGCTGAGCAAAATGGTTTTGTAGCGCATGGACAAATGTATTTCCAGAAACAAAAGGAACTTGTCTGCCTTAAGTTTACTTTTTCAGTGGATGTACTTTTAAAGATTACATGCTTAAATTGCATGGACAGGTACGAAAATAAATAGGTTGTCTGGTTGGCTGTTCCCTAAGTGCTAAAATTCTATTACATCATTGGTTTTTAACTGAGTACCCTGAGTTGAGAACCACTGTGCTCGTGGTGGTTGAAGTATGCACCTTGGCTCTTGGACTTTCCTTGCCCAGTGTAGAAGCAGGAAGACAGGACTGTTTTGCACCAGAATTGGAGATTTTAACTCTCTCAATCCACTCTTTAAAACTTTGCCCTCTTTTCTTTGCAGATTGGACTGGCTAAGGACGACCAGCTGAAGGTTCATGGGTTTTAAGTGCTTTTGGCTCACTGAAGCATAAGTGAGGATTTCCTTGCAATGAGTAGAATTTCCCTTCTGTCCCTTGTCACAAGTTTAAAAACCTCACAGCTTGTATAATGTAACCATTTGGGGTCTGCTTTTAACTTGGACTAGTGTAACTCCTTCATGCAATAAACTGAAAAGAGCCATGCTGTCTAGTCTTGAAGTCCCTCATTTAAACAGAGGTCAAGCAGTAGGCGCCTGGCAGTGTCCAGCCTGAAACAAAGCAATAACGTGATGTTTCAGCCAAGCCCAGAGCCCCAAGATCACAGACGGCTCCTCACAAGAGTTCCCTGCCCTCAGAGAATGTCACCACCTGAACAGCCTTCGGTGAAGCTGAGAGGAGAAGGGTAAGGCAGCAACGGCATCTGTACCACTAGAGGGGGCCTTCCGTAGTCAAAAGATCTCCAACCTGAGCAGGTGGATGGAGCTTAGAGCAGCCACCTTCCCTCTAGTGAGGGTGATAAGGATATCTGGCTTGCCACCAAGGTCTTTTTGACCAGACATATCCTTGCTAATTGATGTCCAAACACCAGAATTTGAGGCCAGCCTTCTATCAGAGTTAAACTTTTGACAAGGGAACAGATTTCAAACTGATGTGTCAGTCGTGTAGCTAGCTATAGAGCTTGCAACTTAACTAGCAACAGCTGCCCAATGCCATGTGAAGTAAACTGATTTTTGGGTTTTTTTCCCCCCTTCAGTTTTAATGTTATGTAATGTATTTAAACCCTTATTTAAATAAAACTTGTTTTCAGAAACATCTGACTTGCAGATTCTATTTTATATACTATACAGTCAGTCTTGTGTGTGTAAAGGAACCACAGAAGTGGTCAGGGGATCTGTCTGTACCCAGAGCTCAACGGGCCTGAACAAACAGACCAAAAAAACCTTTAGTGAGCTTGTTCCTTCAAGTCCCAAAATTAGGTATGGGACTTCACCTAAGCTATAAACCCCTAGAAAAGGTATGCAAAAGTGTAAGTGACTAAAGTGTTTCAGAAGCAGAAATTGAATATTAAGAGGCTATCTCTTGACAAAGGACAATAACAAAGTATATCAAGGTCTCCTGGGTCCGTTCTGTTAAACACAATCTAATTCTCCCAGCATGTGGATCATTACCAGCCCTAATTTCAGATACTGAAATAACGCTTCCAACTGCTAAGGTTATAAGGAATCAACACTTCCTATTTGTTGCCAACTGCAGTTTTGTAGGCAAAGGTCAACCTGGAACAAGTGGGTGTGGAGAAGGTCTGGTGAGAGGCTAAGCCGGTGGCAATTGACCTGAAAATAGATTCTAATCTCTGATAGAGGCTTGCAACAAGATCCCACAAAATTGGTCCATTTAATAAACCTACCACTTGGCTCCAACAAGTGGCATTGTTTAAAACCAAGATTTGAGTACAACAAAAGGGCTTTTTGTAGAGAAACTTCTAGAGGCAATACTGGAGGCCAAACCCACAGAGGACCACAGAAGATGGGATGAAATAAGAGGGAATCATGCCATAGGTTGTACAGGTCCTGTGTTAGGCTGTTAACATCTCTAAGGACCTCCAGTTTTCTCAAATAGGATTATTCTGAGGTAAGCTAGCAACACCAGTATTAAATCGGCTGTCTGGACCCACCAAAACAATTATGTGTGAACATATAACAGGAGGTTTGTGAACACTGATCCAATTGATGTGATATGGGTGTATCTCAGGCCTGAAAATAAAGCATAATGTCTCCATTTGATGGTTGAGAAAACCATCTAAGTGATAGAGCCTCATCTAGAACCCTTTCTGTTCTTCCCACTAGACCTGTACCTTCGCAACTTAAGTAGCTCTACTTGCAGACAGTGAGTCTTAGTTTGTCCAGTGCAGCTGGGGATCATGGGGCACACAAAGGCGAGTCAAGCAGACACCCGATGGGATGTAAGACCAGCACAGCCTTGACATGAGGCAGAAATAGGCCAGTGCCACCACTGGCTTAACCCAAGAGCACAGGATCTCTGAGGATTGGGAAATCTTCCCCACTCCCATCCGAGCCCAGGGTGCCATCTGAAGCAGGGCATTCTAGGCAGAGGAGTCAAGGCCCAGGGGTGAAAGCACCCAGTGTGTATGAGGATCCTTAAGGTAGGACCATTTGGCTGGAACAAAGACCTTACATAGAGCAGAAATAATAACAGTACTGTCTCTTACTATGTGCCAGACCTGTGCCAAGCACTTAGAAGTATACATCAACTGATTTAATAGTTGGGACTCAGTCCCGTGTTGAAACAGATGCAGTGAGGTCACTTACCAGCAAGTAGGTGGAGAGAATGGAATAGAGGAAGATGAAGGCTGGAAAGTCGGTGTGAGATCAGAGTGGGTAGAGCCACAAGCCAAGACTCTCCCTTTCTTGCTTCCCCCATTTCCTCCCCTCTCCTCAGGCTCCCTGCCCAACCCCAGTCAGCAGGAGCCCTCCTGCCCCTCTACTCCCACCCTCTGCAACAGGAACAAGCAGAGATAAGTCAAACATTTCTTGAAATGGTGTTTCTTAAAATAGTGTCATTTAAGACAATAAATATTAGCTAAAACTCCACAGGAATTTACAAAAACTACTTAAAGCCTACTGAAATTGCTGTAAACTCTATAAATAGGTAAAAGAAACTGTATTTGGGACTGAACATTGTACCAACTAGCACTAGAATTGACCCCCTTCCTCATTTACCATCCTTGGTGGCATCAGTGTCAGAACTCAGTTCACAGGGCTTTGAAATTAAGAGCTCCTTGACTAATTTTTTTTTCAAGAGAATTATTTCAAAATTAGCACATAACCTGAGGTTTTGGTGATTTCTTGCACTTTTTTTTTCTTTTTATGAGGTTTTCTGTTTTTTAAAAATTTCTTGCCCAGCCAGGTGTGGCTCAGCGGTTGAGCGTCAACCTAGGATCCAGGAGATCACAGTTTGATTCCCAGTCAGGGCACATGCCTGGTTGCGGGTTCAATCCCCAGTGGG